AAAAAAAAAAAAAAAAAATACTTGAGGACATGGAGAAATGTTTAGGATTCATTTGTAAATAAAGAGCAAATTATAAGTGTTAGGAAATAAGATCTCAATTTGTAAAAGACAAGAAAATCTGCAAATCTAGATCTAAATGGACAAACAGAAAATAAAGACAGAAAAAAATGGAAAACTACAAAATGCTAACAATAAGTATTTCTGAACATTTTACTTTTTTTTAATTCTCCATGCTGCTTTAGAATTTTCTTTTCTTTTTTGAGACGAGTCTTGCTCTGTCACCCAGGCTGGAGTGCAGTGGCACGACCTCAGTTCACTGCAACCTCCGCCTCCCAGGTGCAAGTGATTCTCCTGCCTCAGCCTCCCAAGTAACTGGGATTACAGGCACTCGCCACCACGCCCAGCTAAATTTTTGTATTTTTAGTAGAGATGAGGTTTCACCATGTTGGCCAGGCTGGTCTCGAACTCCAGACCTCAGGTGATCCACCCACCTTAGCCTCCCAAAGTCCTGGGATTACAGGCATATGAGCCACGGCGCCCGGCTATACACTTGTTAAAGATTGATAAATCAGAGAATTTAAATATAAAAATACTCCACAAAGCCAAAAAAACACCAAAAAAAGTAGGGAAAATTTGTTGTAAATTATATTTCAGAAAACAATTGAATTTCATTAGCAGAAATTCTTGGATATTCAGAAGACAGGAGGGCCTATTTATTGGTTTATCTCCTAAACCAAATTTAAGACATTATTTCACTAACAAAACATACAAGATCTATGCACAGCAATATGTTTTATGTAATGCTGATTGTTATGCTTTATATATATGCAAAAAATATTTCTCTATTTTTATGCAACCATTTGCATGTAAAAGCAACAATATACAGTTACATTTCAGGCTCTTTTAGGTATCTAAATGGTGTCTTCTATTTCTTAGTTTTTCTTTAAAAACATCGTCCTTAATATTTCCCAAACACACATAGGCACGTCCCTCAGTATCTTGGGAGATTGGTTCCAGAATACCCAGTAGATACCAAAATCCAAGAATTCCATTTTTTATCTAAAATGGTGCATTATTTGCATATACTCTCCCATTACACATCCTCGCATATACTTTAAATTGTCTCCAGATTACTTACAATACTAATACAATGTAAATGCTATGTGAACAGTTACACTGTTACGTTTAGGGAATAATAACAACAAAGTCTGTACATGTCCAGTACAGATGCAACAATCCATTTTTTCTCCTAAATATTTGCAATGCCCAGTTGGTTCCTTCTT